CTTCGACTTCAGAGGTCCCATATCGCTTACTCAACCCTATGTTATTGAAAGGCCAGTTAAAGTAGTATCCTACCATGCTGTGATCGAACTGAAGACCTATAGTGGCTATAGATGGAAGGTTTGGGTGGTAAACCAGAAGACCAGAAGTTTGAGATGAATTACGCTGAGCTGGAGCCAAGGAACTTACAACTATATGCCTTCAGACTCCTTGATGGAGCTTAACCAGTAAGCTTACCGGTGTCTGTGGTGTAGCAGTTAGGTGCTTCGCCATCGCACACGGAAGGTGTGAGTTCGATTCCCGTGTGGGTAGTTTTTGTCGAATATATCCGTTTTTCTTCGAGGACGTTTGTATCCCTCACCGCCCTGACAAGTAAGGTAGAAGCAGCCTGCCTCCTACATGATTTAAATTGTGTCGATGGGGGTGTAAAACACCGACTTGCCATTACAGAACAATAGGCCAACGAGTAAGATTGCTTGAAAGACTATGGTTCCCTAACACGACGTGTAGAGAAACAACGGACAACTACATTTGCAGATAAAACGTGACAACCAGATATACATATGATCTATATAATATAAATGTATATATAGTTAAAGAACAGTTTGGCCTAATATTAACCCCTTCACTCTGAGGCGACGAAAGGCTCACGTCTCCACTGTGTGCTTTGAGTGACCGGATTTAGGGCGATCGACTCGACTCTTAACGTACATGTGTTTTTGGTATGTCAAGAGTCAGATGATGTAGAATATATTTAGCTTTTAATTTATATGCTGCATAAGTGGGTAGTGCTAGCCTCAATTAAACCCCTTCCTTGCCTGGCCCGAGTCGGCCTCTCGATAGCTATGGACTATACGAATAAGCCAACTCCTGTGTTATACCCCATCACCCTCACCTATCACCCGTCTCCACTCATCTGTCTCTTCATCCCCCTTCGCCACCAACAACTCATCCTCCATTTGCCCGAGCCTCTTCCTCTTCCGATTCCTCTTCTCCCCTTCCCCAACCCCTCCACCCTCCCCCAACCCCTCCATCTTATCCCCAACCCGTCCTCCTATCCCTCCTCACCCGACACGTAGATGCTCTGTGGATATTACCAACAAGGGACGTAGAGCGAGCTGGGTTTTCTTTAATCAATCTTTAATTGGGTGTATGGGGGGGGGGTTCTTTTGAAGTTTGTGTTGTGTGTATTTGTTTGTTTGTTTTGCAGTGGATTTTTGATTGTTTGTTTGTTTGGTTTTTTTTGTTGTTGTTGTTGTTTTTTTTTGGTTTTTTTTTGGGGAGTGGAGGGTTAACCTCGAGTACTCACAAGCTCATCATGCCCAAGGTAAACACTATGCTAGTTAAAGAATCGCCTGCAGTCCATCCCTGAGCGATCTGAATGGGGATATTTTTAGATCCTGGTTAAACACCCTGGTACAGAAACGTTCCACTGAGGATTTTAAAAAATACACAATAAGTCTTAGTGTCTCTGAAAAGAAAATGGGTCAATGGCACATCCCAGAGGTGCGGTAGCTCTTGAGATTTCGTGACCTTAACGTTGTACAGTACAGGATTGGTCTCTTTGATGAAGTCAGTAACCGTATTATTCTGTACAATTATTTACATTTATTGAACCGTCAAGCGGGACGAAGGGAGAGTTGATCTCTATTGAACGACAGTTGGCCGAATCAGCCAGCAAACAAAGAAAGATCGGCTTCCTTCTAAGAATAGTCCTATTATAATAATATAATTTTTTTTTCGTGAAAAAGTTCAGAAAACAGATGACGTACTTATTATGTATAGAGGTGCGATTTCTCGAGAGGATTCGGCGACTCTCATAATGTAGGCCTACAAGAATCGGTTT